TGCATTTATTTGTTGTATTCTGCTTTTCATTTTTCATTGTATAAGAAGCCATTTCAAATTTTCACATACATTAGAATAACCTGGGGTGATTGGTTATTCTTTTTGTTCTTATTGTTGTTTTGTTTTTGAGATGGGATTCTGCTATGTAGTTCAGACTGGCATTAAGTTCACTGTGTAGTCTGGACTGGCCTCAAACTCATGGCAATCCTCCTGCCACAGCTTCCTCAGCACTAAGATTACAGGCATATGCCACCTTGCCTGGCTACAAATTCATATTCTTGAGTCCAGTTATTTTGACTTTAGTCAAAATTAGGGTTGAGAATTTCAAAATTTCAGCTAAAACTCTGATTGTGGTGGTCCATGTATAACACTTCGAAAGCAAGAGCAGTTCTAAGTAAGAATATGTCTTTCAGCGTGGAGAGATAGTACCTACTATAGCAGAAGTACCTATTTTGTCTGCTCTATAGAACATAAGATAGGCATTTAAATGTAAAAGTTGCTTAAGAGTACAGAATAGTGGTACAAGAAAAAAAACAGGTCAACACATCAGAAAGGAGACCATGAAGTGGAAGATAATGGCACTAAAAATCAATGGTAAATTAATGAGGCAAAGGGAAAATTAGTTGGTTTTTGGCAAAAGAAAAGTTACAATCTTATTTAATTCATACGTATACTATATATAGAAATAAATGTTAGGAAAATTAAAAAACAATAGAAACAGAAAAGTACAACAGATAATTAGGCTAAAATAAGAGAGACATTCTAACATCCAAAGCAAACATTATAAAAGGAAAAAGGAGTTGTCACAGAATGTCAAGAAAAAAAGGGCTGCTCAGTTTTGAAACTGTCTGATATTTCTCAATTTAAAAAAACAACAACACTCTTTGATTCATTGATTCTGTGCACTACTTTTTTAGTCTCCATTGCGTTAATTTCTGCTCTGATCACTATGATTTCCTCTCTCATTTGAGCTTTGGGCTTTAGTTTTTCTAGAATTTTAAGGCTCAACATTAGGTTTTCACAGTAAGTGAGTTCACGGCTGTAAATTTTCCTCTTAGGAAGTTTTTCACCGTGTCCCTTAAGTTTTGGTATGTTGCACTAACATGAACATTTGACTAGAACCTGATTAATTTATTGTTTACTTTCATCTGTGACTCATTGGTTGTTCAGGGGGATGCTGTTTAGTTTCCTTGTGTTTATGGAGTTTTTATTATTTCTTCTGATATTGATTTTCAATTTCATTGCACTGTGGTCTTATAATATGCATGACATCCTTTCAATTCCTTTGTGTTTACTTGGGCGTGTTCTATGGGGCAGTGTGTGGTCTGTTTTGGACAACATCCTGATGCAGCTGAGAAGAATGTGTATTCTGATGCTACGGGTTGGAATACTCTCTAGACATTTTCTAAGTGCATTTGTTCACGTATTTGGTTCAGTTTCAATATTTTGTCTTTGATTTTTTTGTCTAACTTGTATATCTTTTTGTAACAATTGAGTAATAAAAATCCACATTACAATTGAGAAAAAAGAAAAAAAGTTCTGCTAATTGACTCTGGACCAGGTTTCCTTACTAGCACTTAGATTCTTTCTCTCTATATTTAAAAAATAAAAGATTGCCCCCCCACCCCTAATACAGAGATACAAAACAAAACCTTGGTAGAGGTAAAGGTAAAAGAAACCCATACTAGAAGGTCTACAGGGCAATAATTTTGACTTTTCATACAGATATCTGTGATGAATTTATGCATGTGATCAAGTTATATAAGATGAGCTATATCTCTTCTCACAAATTGGTAACAAAGTCATTATTCAATTAAAGATGATAATTAAAATGACATATAAACTCTTCGCTGAAAACCAAAAAGTTATTTTATTAATTTTATTTCTAAATAAAGTCACCAGAACGTACTACCTCTCTGGAAAGGATGAAGATTGGGATGGGAAAACTCACCATAAAACTTGGACTTGGCCAGGATGCTACCACTAAGGCAAAATCCGTCTTTTCGGTTACTAACATAAAAGGCAGATATTGGTGGATGATGAGACACCTATTGAATATAGGAAAAAAAAAAACCAGCAAATTAGCTAAGCATGTTATTGTGCCATTATCAAAAGTTAATTTTTTTTTTTTTTGTAAAACCAGGGATTGACCCTTGTGCTTGCCAGGGAAGAGCTTTTCTACTGAGCCATCTCCCTGGCCCCAAAAGTTAAATTCTTATGAGTAAGAAACATTTGATGGGTAATAAATTAAATACTGATGGTTACAGTAAGTAGTTTCCTGTCTTCCACAGAAAGCTGCCTCCTGGTAGCTCTCCAGGACTCTCTTGCCTCAGCTTCCTGAATGCTTGGATCACAGATGTGCACCAACCACTTCTGGCTAAATATGCTATTGATAATTCAATGTTTTCTATATTTACATTGTTTTTGTGAAGAACTACAGTGAACTAAGTGCAAGATAATCATTAATTTAAAACATTAATATAGATATAGGGTTCCCTCCTGAGGGGTGCATCAAGAGCTCCAAGGAGAAGGAAGTTATCAAAGGATACATGGTCTCATCTTTCTTACACTAAAGGCGAGAATTACTATAAAAAGGAGTCACTGCTGTTGAGACAGAACAGCATATTCCTCAGATTTGTGCAGAAAGAAAAAGAGAAAGAGTAGTGAAAATAAATGTATGCAAATTTCAGTAACAAGAGTTTAAAAATGATGCAGTATTTTCTCACTGCCTGTTATAATAACAATAAAAGAAGTGTCATCTAAAACGAGAGACTATGACTTCAATGGTTACCTTCTCTCCCAATGCAATTAGAGAAATATTCTTTATCAAGGTAAAAAATACAAGTGTTAAAAAATAGCTTTCTGGATAATCTCAAAAAATAATACAAACATTTCAGAACGAAAAATAACCACTGGGAGCTGCAGTTATCTGGATAAGAAAGAATGAGCAGCTCAGGGTTTGTTAAAGAATAGCTGAGAAGAAACATTCAGTGAGAGAACTAAATTCAAAAATAAAGTACGTAGGTTGGGGAGATAGCTCAGCAGTCTAAGTACCTGCCTTGCAGGTGCAAGGACCGAACTCTGATTCCCAGTTCAGCATGTTGTGCTGGCTGCAGAACCCCAGATGACCTGTGCCCATGAAACTGGGTGTGGTGGCACACACCTGTAATCCCAGTGCTGGGGAGGCTGAGACAGGAGAATCATTACAAGTCTGAGCTGCACAGTGAGACCCTATACTAAAAATTAATAAATAAGGGAAGAAAGTATAAGATCAGGTGACCTAGTTATGAATGCAGATCTTGAACTACCTAACAACACATTTAGGACTGGGTGTGGTGGTGCATGCCTGTAATTCCAGCACTTGGGAGGCTAAGGCAGGAGGATCACTTTGAGTTTGAGCCCAGCCTGGGCTATACACATAGTGAGTTTGTGGCAAGTCTGAACTAAATAGCAAGCCCCTATCTCATAAAACAAAAACAAACAAAAGGCATATGAGATAAACTCAGAAGAATTCAGAAGACTTTGGATGCCAGAGAAATTGGTATAAATCTGATCTCAGAATGAAGACCCACTAAATAATTATATGACCAGTATAAATATGCCCAAAAAGTAAATGAACAAATACAAAGAATGCACAAGGAAGAAGAGGAATAAAAATACTTTTGATCAAAGAATTCCGTGACTGTAAGGGTAATACACAGGAGTATGGTATTTAGTGCTAAATGTTAAATTCTTACTAATAAGAATGGTCAAACAATAATTTCCTGAGTTAATGTTGTCTACTAAAGTATCCAATAATGTCAAGGTCTGTTTCATTTCTATAACATGCACTTCTAATACCTGTTCAGCAATATAAAATGTCTTGCTGTTTGTTCTGGGATGAATCCATAAACAACGGAAAGTCTCACCAAGTATGGGGTTATAAGGTTTCTTCAGTCCCTAGAGAAAAGCATACAAGTTTCTAATTACAAATACTGAGGATTTAAAATAGTTTAAACTAGTCCAAACAGGTTTCATCAGGAAGACATCCCTAAAAAGCTCTACACTAAAGACATTCATGAAGTAAAATCCTATGACCTTAATTAAAATACAGGTCTAAATAACCATGTATTTTGCTAATAATTTTTAGTATACCATATAAAAGTAACAAAGCTCATAAAAAACTAAAGAAAGTCAAGTATAACTATTACCTTTGGCTTTTTATAGAATCCAGACAAATACCACTTAACTACTTTCTTCAAACGGAAATAAGGATTTTCTTCAAGAGCAGCCCTAGAAAACAAAATGATAATCATAAAAATCTTTGTAGGCAACGTCACAAATTCTTCCTAATATTTATCAAATGATAACTGAGTGAGAAGATACAACTTTAACCAATTCACACTTAAAATAGATGACAAAGATAGCCATGTAAAACTGATTTCCAAGAATTATCTTGTTAAATTTGGTCATTTTTTTCCTTTGTTGTTTTTGTTGTTGCTGTTTTCTATTCGTTGATATACTGCCCAGTTCCTTGCTGAAATGCTTTTTGGAAACTCTTGAACCATGGTTTTTCAAATGGGCTTCTAGACCAGGGATATAGCTCAAGCATGTCTGATGAGGTATGAGATGGCAGAGGCTGGCTGGGCTTACTGATAACTTTGTCATATCGTATTTTTTTTTTTTCAGTAATAAACCTCTAATGGTTCTCATCCTATTAGTTTAAATTCTCTTATTATGTGATTTTATTTTAAATTTATTTTAAATTTTACATACATGTAGCTGGAAAAGTTAAAGCAATATAAAGAAATACATGTCATCAATGCATATGATGGCAATTTATAACAGATATATACTGTTCCAACTCTCCATAATATTCCTTATTGCCTATTGTTTTGGCTTGTTTTTGAGGACTGAAACCAGGGAACTAACTCAGGGCCTTTGCACTTAGCTATATTCCTGGTCATTTTTATTTTACAACAGAGTCTAAGTAGCTAAATTGCTCAGGGCTGAACTCGAACTTACAATTTTCCTGCCTTAGTCTCTGAGAGTGCTAGAATTATAGACATGTGCCACCTTGGCTAAATTATTATTTTAAACGTTTCCTTTATAGGGCTGGCAAGATAGGTCAGTGGACTAAGTGCCTACTTAGGCAAGCACAGGGACCTGGGTTTGATCCTGGCACCACATGTGGCACCGGTCCTGCCCCTGGGTACACAGAGCTGGCCACTGAGTCCAGGTGTGGTGGCACACACCTGTAATCCCAGTGCTGGTGAGGCTGAACATAGGAGGATCACTATAAGTCTGGGCTGCATAGTGAGACCCTTTATCAAATACATTAAAAAAAAAAAGTCTCCTTTATGCATAAATGACCAAATATAAACAGTTCTATTTTTCTAAAAATACAGTACTCACGTTTCTATATCTTCATCTTTTTCTGGAGTTCTTTCTATAGCAATATACAGTTAGTTCTTCTGTATATGTGTAGATGCACCATACATTATTTAGCCAGTCAACTATGGCTTGGCACTTGAGATATCTCTAATGTTCTGTGATTACAAAACCTTGATACAGCAATCTTCTATGTGTCATTTGATGTATGTGGAGTTTTATCTGTAGGACTTATTCACAACAATCAGGACTACTGAATTAAAGGAAGAAGACATCTACAGCTTGGGCCAACACTGTGAGACTTCCTTCAGAGGCACTGTGCTGCTTTCTATCCCTTGGGGGAGGTGTGAGTGTTTACTGTCCCTCAGTCTTGGCAACAGTGTGTGTTGTCATAAAAGTGCAATCTTTCTATTTATAGAAATAGAAGTATTTTCATAGCAATTTACCTTACATTCTGAAATGAATTTCTAAACAGATAAGGAAAGAAGAAAGATAGAAGAACCAGTATATAAAAGCTTTTGAACTTGTTAGTGTGGTGAATGTATAATACTATCTTGCTGGGTTAAATCACATTTTTCTTATTTTCTGTGAAGCTTATGTGTTTAAAGGCTGTTTCTACTTCTTCACTATTGCAATGCCAGGTCATTCCTTCTACTCCTTTTTCCACAGATCAACATTTTCATTTAGTTTCTAAGAATTCTTTGTATTTTAGGGAGATGAACAATTTGCCTATAAGATACCTTATAAAATTTTCTCACAGTTTATCAGTTATTCGTTGACTCATTTATGATTTTTGCCAAAGTTACCAATGCAATTAATAAAGAGAAACTGAATATAGATACTTATGCAGTCTACAAAATCAGGTCATAGGGCCTAAAGTTGGCACCACAGAAAACACAGTGTCTTGGAAACACTGCTGCTGGAGTAGGGGCAGCAGGGGAGAAGTGCAAAGGTGGGAAGTTCTTTTCAAAGCTCTTCAAAACATTTTTGAGACAGAAGTAGACAGTTCCTTGCCTGTTTCCTATGGCTGCCTTCTTCAAAATTTTACTCAAGATCAGCTGGCTGCTTCCAAAGAAAAGCAAGGACAAGAGAAGGAACTTCTATGAAACACCAGCACTTGCAGGTCATTCTGGCTAAATAAGCTGCACAGGTCTCGCAGGAAACAAGTCCTAGGATGGGGCTTGAATGAAGGCATACTGAGGAGCACATGCCAATTACTCAGCCTGTGTTAAATTCGTGCATAAGTCAAGGAGCCTGTCACAACGATGTGGGCAGTGAGAGGCAGAATTCCTGTCTTCCTCAAACTTGTGATCTCTCAATTTAGCTTGATAAAAATACTTTCCTTATTAAGATCAACTACAGAAGTGGTGAAGACAGAATGAGAATCTGACGTTGAAAGGGCATAATCGTTGAAAGTAGCACTCTTGAGAACCTCTAAAATTGTGAAGTACAGTATCTTCTACTTTAAGAATTAAGAATATACTTACTCAGATAGGAAGTCTGCATGATAGTAGTAATCTGAAAGTTTATCCAGAAAAGAACGAGGTTCCAAAATAAATGTAGGCAGAACAACCCTGGACAAGTCCATTCCTGGACGGACTTGTTTCAGCAATGTCCAGATAAGGCTTTTGTTTTCTTCAGACACAGTTTCTGTTTGAGAAGCCTCACCTGCCTTTAGCAATTAACAAAACACACTGAAATGTTACATTTATTCCAGAGACTTAGATACACAGATATGTAGATAAGACAGCATGTTGAAAATACAAGCTATCTCCAGAACAATCCCAAGCATTCTTAAAATATAGAAATAACCTTTTAAATAATAAATGAAGTCTATAAGTATAAAGCTTACGTAAAAAAGGATCCACAGGAGGTATCAAAGTGAACAATATAAAACGCTGTATGCTATTATTTTATACTACATGTCTATGCATTAGGAATAACATGATAGTTACAAATTCATGTTTCCTTGCAATTTGCTTTGTACCTGATAATGGTATCAGGCAGTATCCTATTTCAAGAGCAAACGAAGAAAATGTAAACTTTAAATTTGATAAGTCTATACTGGTATTTGTGTAAAAATATATATATATATAGATGTTTAGTTGTTTATAAATCTTGAGGGCCAGCCAAATAGCTCAGCAGATTAAAGCACCTGTAAGCAGGTGCAGGGGCTGGGGGTTCAATCCCCCAACCCGCTGTGCCAGCCCCGCCCCTGGGGCACGCTGAGACAGCGATTGAGACTGAGTGTGCTGGTGTGTACCTGTAATCCCAGCACTTGGTAGGCTGTAAACAGGAAAATCACTACAAGTCCAATCTGATAGGGAGACCCTGAAAACCCAGTAGATCCTTTCCTAAAATACAGAAAAATAAAAAAATAAAGCTTGATATATTTCTCTTTTTCTCTGTCTCTCACACACTTACTTTAAAAAATAACATTGGTGTGAATGCTGCATGTCAGGAAAACAACATACCAAGCCAGTAATATAAAAAACTTCATTTGGACATTCCCAAGAAATACAAAACCATGGTGTCTTTTACCTCTCCTAGCTCCTCGTGGCTCTGTTCAGTGTACGTGGTACCCTTCAAAGGCTCGACAGGCTCGGGTTCGATGTATGAGTCATCCTGCCTTTCCGATGTATCACTATCACTTTCTTCACTTTTCCCCATCACCTCATTATCTGATTCATCATGTTCTTGATCATTTTCTTTATCAGATTTATCAGAATACATATCTTGGTCCTTAAAATGCTGTCGTTCAATTTCACTGTCGTTTAACCTTAAGGGAATGATTAGGAGAAAGAATGAAGGCGGCTAAGAAGACTTAACTGACACATCAGAATGAGTATAATAACTACTGTGCTTACTATGTATTTGCCACTGTTCTAAGTGTTTTCTATAGTTTAAATTCAATTAATCATGCATAGTATCCTATGAGATAGGTACATCAGCCTTAGTTTACTAATTAGTAAACAGAGGCATTAGAAAGTTTAAACAAAAACCTGGAAAGATGTTAAACCATGATACGCCAAGCCCTTTGTCTCTTTACTCTCAGGGTTACAATCTTCCAAAAGTAAAATTTTATACTACTCCTAGGTAAGTTTTTTCTTCTACGAATATTGTTGTTTAAAGAAAACTCACCATCACTTTCTGCCTGAAGAAAAAAAGTAAGACAAGATCATCAGGTTCTCAAGTAACCACAAACAAACTACAACTTTTTACTTGTTAAAAGCCTCTAACATCACCCAAAGTAACACCAAGAATTAGATGAAACAGCTTAATCTTGAGACAAAAATTCCAGGGAGAATAGGAGATAGCAATGTCACCTTAAAGAAATATGTCTACAGTCTAAAACTGAAGTTACTAAAAGTGATTAGGGCAGATATCTGTAGAAGAGAGTAAAATCTTGGGAACAGATCCCAACAAACATGCATTCCTGTATGGGCTACTTCCCCCCCCCCCTTCTCTACGAGACCATTCAGGTTCCAGGTACTTGGGATTAAAGTGAAAATTCTAGAGTATAGAACTGTAAAGAAAGGATGTAAAAATTGAGGTTAGGGAGGTTTCTAAGGAATGAAAACAAAAGTAGTATTGAGAAAATGGATAGTAAAAACCTGGCTGAGGTTGCGTAGAACAGTCTAATAGTGAGAAGAGTAACCCAGTGATGGCGAGAACAAGCAGCTGTGGCCAGTGGGTGTGAAGGGAAGAGTTGGGGGTGGGAGTGGGGGCTGGGAGGGCAAATTCAGTGTCCATTCTGCAAGACACCAGCACCCAAACTTTCAACTGCTACCTAGTTTCCCCCAAAAAATAATTTCTTAGTATTAACTACAATAGATGTTGCAGGGGATAAAATCCAAAACTCATTCAATTCCAACCCAAAACACTTAACAATATAAAATAATCCCACAAATATCAGACACAGAAAGTCATTTGAGTGCCATTAACAAAAAAGTGACAAAAATAACAATAAAGATTATCTTTCATTTTTAAAAAGCAGGAAAAAAGCTGCATAAATGGTGTAATATTTTAAACTGATCTCAAAAAATACATAGGATTATGACAGGAAAAAAGAGCAATAAGTAGAAATCACTCCCCCCCCATATTTTTAGAGAAGGGTCTACAGGGTGTTCAGGGTTTCACTACTGGACTGGACTCACAGTGATCCGCTTGTTTATAGCCTCCCAGGAGCTGGGATCACAGGCACATGCCACCACACCCAGTCTCAGTAGAAACCATCTTTAGTGGAAGGAATGCATGGCACAGAGACAAGGTAGACGTATATTTGTATTTGGCAAAGAGAATAATTCAGGGCGGCCAGAATACAGGGAATAAATTTCTACACTTTGTACAGCAAATTTTAAAGGCTTAGGCCATGTACGTGAAGAAGATAGGCAAATTTCAACCATATATACATTGCCAAAATACTAGGACTATCAACTAACCTAGTGAACAACAAAAACACTGAAGTCACTGCTAATTAGTCGTAATATCTACTTACTGGAAGTTGTCGCCACTGTGGAGATTGTTAGCACGTAATAAGCCATACAAAGTCACATGAGTGTTATCTGATGAGATGCTCAGGTCATGTTCTTTTCCTTCCCTGATCATTGTACGTTTGAGAAGACTAGAACATTTCAAAGCCAATTCCAAAGCATCCATCCAGCACCTTCCTAGAAGAACACAGATTCATAAGAGGCATAATTAAAGAAACCATGAAACAAACATTCATCTTACCATTAAATAGCTATTACTTTTTTGAGAAATATGTGCTGGAAAACTTAATTTGAACAAATATCATGCTAAGGGTTTCTTTTTTGGTTTTTTTGAGACATGGTCTTGCTATTTAGTTCAGGCTGGCCTCAGACTGCCTATGCAGTCCAGACTAACTTCAAACTCACCAAAATCCTCTGCCTCAGCGTCCTCAGTGCTGAGATTAGAGGCGTGCGCCACTGCATCTGGCATGCTAAGGCTGTCCTAACACAATCTTTATTTCTCTAGAAACCACTGATAAATAAATAGTATAACAGCATGTGTTAGCAAGAATACTCGATCGAAAATAAATGTATTTCTTTTTCCAAAGCTTACAAAAATAATATGCAGCATAATTTAAAGGAACTCAGAAAGGCACATAAAATGTACTGAAGGGATTATGTTTCTACTATAAACACACTACATGAAATAGTGTTTTGTTGTTGACAGGATGTCTATCTATTTCCAGGCATAAAACTCATTGTATCAACATGTATGAAAACTTTTAAGTCAGGAAAATTTCTATATTAATGCTACCATAAATTGCTGTACTCTTAAAGAGAAACAGTAATAGACTGCTCTATTTCTATTTTAAAACTTACAATTCTATTAGCAGAAAAATGTGCATAAATACGTCAGTGTTTTAAATTCTCTCACGTTTCAAGATTTGATGGGAATATCAGCCACATAAAATATGTTCACATTGAAAACTTGTGCTATTTTAATTAAAAAATAATTTTTGGTAAAAGTCTGCTTTGGGAGGTTATAAAAGTCTCAATATCCAGCTAATCTAAACTCTAAAATGTAAAAGAAACCTATGATCACTTTTGAAGGTTCAAAAGTTACCTTGCTTCCAAAACACATTTTGTTTTCTCATACTTGCTTCATAAATTATCAAATTATTAAGTGTGGAATAAAATAATTTATATATTAATGCCTTCACAAGTAAAATAAAACCAAAATAGTACATACGTATCTTACATTAGCACTCAAAGATAAAATCTAAATAGAATAAAATATATCCCTAAAATGTTAATATTTAATGAGTTACCAATAAAGAACACTAGTAAGTCAAAAAAGTGGAATCTGTCAGTGGAAGATAAAGATGACACTGAAGTACTAGCACACTGTCAATTAAACAATGCTTTCTTCCAAAGTTAATAATATATTTAGTATTCTACGCAATTTATAATTACAGTGTTTCTACTATAAGTATCATAACAGATTTATTTCAAGTATAACATAAATTGGTATATAAAATAAACCCTTAAAAATGAAACAAAAAATCTAGTCAATCAAAAACTTTAGTTACCATCTGATTCTGAAGTAGCTCGAATGATCAAGTAACTGCTGGGTAAGGGCTGAGTTATAGATCCAACTGCTTCACCTTTTGGGCCCTTAGCAACAAAATAAATAATATAAACATTGTGACACCTTAACTTCATATTCCCCACTTTTATCTATATAATATACACCAGAAATGAATTATAACTTCAAAGCAAATATGCTTTAATTTCATCTTTCTTAAGAATGCAAGTGTTAAGGGAACTAAGTTTTCTTTCCCAATAAATATATTTCCTTAACAGATAAGAATTGGTAGATATCTCCCCGGTTCTGAAAAAAAAAAAAAAAAAAAAAAAAGAATTGGTAGCTATCATCATTTAAGTATTCTTTACAGATTGCTTAAATATTAAAGAGAACCTAAAATTTACCACACACCGAACCCTATTTTAACTTTTAAAAACTTTTTATTAGTATTAGTACATATTTACAGTATGTAGTGGTTATGCTTGTGGTAAGCTGAATAACACATCACAATTCTTTTTTTCTTCCCCTTCTCCTTTCCTTCCGCCCCATCCCTTCATCTCTGGATCCCCTTCTCACTTGTAAAAGGTCTATCTCCCCTGTTTTCTATTATTCAACTTTATTTTTATTTTATTTTTTTGGATTTCCAGTCCTAGTTTCTTAAGTATTATTCAACTTTAATTTTGCTCTTTAAGTTATTTCTACTTCAAGTTTCTCACATAAAGAGAAACCATGTGACATTCACACGCAGAAGATTGAGTCAAGATCCATATCTATCACCCTGTACTAAAATAAAATTTAAAAGGATCAAAGGGTTAGACTGCTGTTCAATACCAAGATAAATGTATTTCTATTTTAAAACTTGGGGTTAGACACTAGGATAGAAAATCAGACTTCTGAGAAAATGGCAGAGTGGTATTTACATTTATAGATTCAGAATCCAGACACTAGAAAACATTAATTTGGGGAAGAAAAAAAGAAAAGCACATCTCCAGGAACCAGAACTATCAGGAACATCCAGACCTACAAGAAGTGAAAGAGAACACAATGAGAAGGGAAGCGACAGTCTTCACTTTTTGTCCGCTCCCAGCTCCTGGCTCTTGCGGAAGGGAAACCAAATCTGTTCAGACAGGGCAAGCCCGGACTCCAGAGGGCTGCAGGGAGAAATGCAGCCCAGGAATGGAGCCATGGGGTGGGTGCAGGAGCGTCAGGGAGCGCATGGGATTTAGTTTCAGGGCCTTCAGTGTGCCTGGCTGAGAGACAGCCCAGATGGCTAAGGGTTTGAGCTACAGGACGCAGACCCACCCCCATAGCCAGCGGCCAAGCACAAGACTATCCCTGGATTTGAAAAGTACCTGGCCCCCTTTCCCTAATCCTACTCCTGGCTGGTGCCTGCACTGAGCACGGATATGGACTTGAGGTCTGATTTCCCACTTTATCTGCCAGTGTGAAGAGGGGCATGTCTTGACTTGGAAACTGTAGATTCTGAAAGAAAAACCACACATTGGAAATCACAGTCAAATTTCTTTATGTTTCTTTTTGTTTTTCTTAGTGTGTACATTGTCTTGAAGCTTTTTTGCTTGTTTTTGTTTTTTCCCTTCCTCCTTTCCTCTTCACCAGTTTATTGGAACTTGGACAGTATTTCTCTGTTCTTCCTTGGTTATCTCCTTGTTTTCTTCATTTTTTCCCTCTTTCCCTTTTAAATTTTATCCTTTTAGACAGGATAAAAATTTAAACAGTTTTGCTTATGTAGTTCAAGTTGGCCTTGAACTCACTATGTAGCCCATGCTGACCCCAAATGTGCTGCAATCTTCCTGCCTTAGCCTCCCCTGAGTGCGGGGTTACATGTATGTGCCACCACATCAGGCTCTAATTTTTTTCTCTTATTTTTACTCCTCTTATAATTTCTTTTTTTCCCTCTCTCTTTTTATTTTCTATTTGTCAGTTTTTTCTCTTACCTTTACCTAGTTCCAAAAACATCCTTCTACTTCCCAGTTTACTTATCCTTTGTTTACTTATCATATGGCTCAGGGTTTCTCATTTTTTTCTCCTGTATATATATTTAATAGTATAACCATAAAGCTTTATTAATCTTTTGATAGTTAACTCTATACTCTTGAATTCTTCTTTATCATTAAGGGAAATACAGTTATCATGTTTCATACATATTAGCTCTAAGTCAATGTGTGGACTGTCTTAATGTTCACACCACAAATGTGGGTTTCTTTTTTAAGTTAAGGGTGGTACCCACTTTATTCTTATAGTATGTTAATATCTAATTTGATGTGAACAGTACTACTTTGATTAGCCTGGTATTATCAGAATCACATAATTGCTATTTATCTATAAGCCAGTAAGCAGATTACCTTTGTGAGGTTAACATTTCTAGAATACATTTCCAAAAAACTCAGTTGATGGCCTAATTACACTGTGTCCTCCCCTCACAAATTTACCAAGGTGGTCAGATCTTGGAGTCAAGGCACAGAACTACAGTTAGTCCCACTGAAAAGCACTAAAGAGATCTCTCTAGGCCGGGGAGATGGCTCAGTAGAATAAGCGCTTGCCTGGCAAGCACAAGGGCCTGAGTTCAATCCCCGGTTCCACAAAAAAAAAAAAAAAAAAAGAGATCTCTCTAGTGTCAAAGACTTCAGACAAGACTTTAGACTACATGTATCCACAAAACAAAAAACAAAATACAAGATGGCAATAAAATGCTCCCTAAAACTTTCAACTCCCCCAAAGCCAATCCAGGAGCCTCAAAAGATAGAATAACAAGCTGCACACTAGAATTACTTGAACAGGTATCAGAGGAGTTTAAAAAATAGACCCAAGATCAGTAAGATCACAGAACCTCAATACCCCACTGTCACAAATGGACAGATAAACTAGACCAACAAAATCAACAAAAAAAATTAGCTGAACCAAACTTTCAAACAAATGCA